AGAGAGACGACTAGCAGAAACGGAAGTCGGATTTGGAATCAGCGTTTGAAGACAAGTGTAATAGTATACATTTAATTCCAAAAGGCCACGGACACTAAAAATCGTTCCCTTGTTAGAAGTAGGCCAGTACTTTAGTAGCACGACGCTCCAAACATTTTAAGCGTCAATTATGCGGTGCACTGTGTAACGACAAACTTTATTCCATGTGTTCAGTGACGACGTTGAGGTTGGGAAGTTATTGCTGTCATGTTTTTCACGCAACTTTGAAAGCATTGAAGGTCGTTCCATCCGTTGATGTTGCAGCCGCAGTTTCCAACGCACTAAAAAGTATTGAAATAATCAAAAATTGCCGTGAAAATAGACTTACGAATTGTGTGTGATGATGATAATCCTCTTCGTAGTTTAGGTCGGGAAACAAACTTTTGAGAACATTCTCGACGAGACAGGCAGAAACTGTATGCAACAGCATTACAAAGAGAATTAGTTTGTATGACATGATCTGAAATGTTAGACATTATGAGGGAGACAATTCTAGCAGGCGAAATTACTCGATAACCGATATAAATTGATAGGAGCTAAATGAAAGAATTACTAAACCTGCACGGCGTAAACGAAAGCACTGTCGAACTCTAAGAGATTCTGATTAAAATACTAAGTTCCAAACCTTTATACAGTTGCGCCCTTTTTAATTTGGGCCATCTGGCGACAAGGAAGCTTTGATCTGTACAAATAGAGCTGATCTGCTTGCCTATATGTTTGTGTATAAATAATATGTTCCAAGTACTTTATTATCTACCAATATCGATTTTATCGACTTTTTGCAAAGTTTTACTTACGAAGCTAGGAGTTGGCACAGGCGGATATGTGAGCATGCTGATTAATGGATAGGACCGCGCGGATCCGGGTCTACCAGCTAGTTGCCGTTAATTAACACGTTGACGACCGAGCCATTTTTGACCACATTAAAATGGACTGATGATCTACGGCTGCGGTTTGGACTGTTCAACAGCTACCGCAATGCCGTGTGTTCTTTATGACAACCAGGCCACCAGTGTTATCACTGTATAGAAGTTACCTGAGAATTTTTCGTTTACACATGATAAATTGATGCACAAAAGTGCTAAAAGGTGGTCTGGGCGTGCATACGCGCGGATGCACACGGTCGTCAACGTGTTAATATATAAAAAATCGTCAGCTCAATTTAAAAAGCCAAGGCGCGCGAAAGAATTTAGCACCTTCAATTACTGATCCACTAGTCAAAGAATGAGATATTAGGATGTATCGTAATTTTTTTCACCGTTTACCCTAGACATCAGCGTTCATCGAGAACTGGGGCCTCTAGCTATGGAATAAATACGAAAAGTGTACAATTGGATGTTCGATGTGGTCAAAGTTCGGCTATTATAAATGGGGAATTTTTAGGGTTTTGTGGGCCAATATGATTTCTTACGGCAAAATTTATCCTATCATTTTCAGCTCAAACTCACGTGGAATACGAACTGGGCAGACTATTGATAGCTAACTTGTAGAACTTGCTTTGCTCTCTTGATTGACTACTTAAGCCACATCAATTGATGGAAGGAAACACACGACGACGGTTGTAGTATGAACGATATAAAATTATGAGTTACCCTAGTACTTTTGCCGGCTGCAGCACAATAATACAGGTAAAAAGGCAAGTGCAGACAACTGTTTCACCATAACTGCGCTACTTACACGGACTCTAATGGATACTGCTGCTGTTTGAGCAAACCCCACTCATTTCGAATCTTTGATAATACAGCTTTTGAAAGTGCTACAATTTGCGAACTTCAACAGAAGACAAGATAACACCGACCTTTACATTTCACTCGACCTCTCCGCAGTACGCGCAATATCGGAAATATAATAACGATAATCTCCCACAAACCCAAGTAATCAAATTTTGTTTCATTTTTTGATGTTAGCGCCTTTTAAAGGCACAGTCCAACCAGAATAGGGTCTATGAGATTTCGATGTCTAACAGTAGCGGACCTTCAAGAGCACAACTTCCTAATTCGCGCTGTCCAAAGTTGCTTACAGAGCGAGACGCTTTGAAAATCCTTCGAAAGACGGACTCGCCACGTTGGCTCCTTCTTAGCAGGTGGGCGGTACGTTCGTCCCGCCCACTCAGTGAGTCCGCCTAACTTGCGCAAAGATCAAAAAATCGATCGAATCATGCAAAAGTGCGTCTGTGCCGTGCAATGAGCTTGCAGCTGGTCCTCGGCTGAGCGCCTGCGCAAGGAGTGCTCGTCTACTGCGGATTCTGGAGGGCATCCAAATCAATAATTTGAAACCTTTGTTCAATTTTAGGCCTGGATTCGGACAAGGCTAAAAAGACAAAAACTCAAGATCGAGGATTTGGGTAAACGGTGCCTTTGAGCTATCGGAGTGTTTTCATAAATGTCAACCTTGCTTTTATCTGTTTAATCATGATTAGCGGAGTTAGAGACATTTGAGTTAAATTCAGATGGATTAATTGAAACACGCACTTATTGTTTACTAGCAAATTGTTTGAACTCTGCATATTTTCTTTTCGTACTTCGATTATTATCAATGGCATGTACAATACCGCTCACATTTTTTTGAAAAAAAGACGCGAATGTTGCATCATGTATGAATATCACCATCGCGTGGCCATATCTCGCTTCAGAGCGGACGAATTCTGCATCTAAAGCCACCAGTCGGATCAGCTCGGCGCGGGGCATCTTCTGATATATAGAAGTGTCCAAGTAGGAGGTCATATTCCATGAAAGGTTTCAGATGTATCTTGCCCAGCGGGTGCAATGAATAAGCACACTGAGTGACCTACCGTAAACAAAAATCTGAACCGATTCGTGGAATCTGAACCAGGGCCCGGCAGGAGGTGGCATTTCAGAATTTTGAGAACGATATCCCCTTTGAAGCCAAAATTTCTTACGACTTCCCCTTTGACCCTATTTTTGACCCCCGTAAGTCCCTGACAAACAGATATACACAAATATTAAGATGGGCGGCCTCAGCGCTTACTATAGTAGTACTACCTGGCTTTCCTGGTCCAGCCCGGGTCATCAAGGTTTCAGCTCAATGGGTTCATCCGCAAAGGAATCTATAAAAAACATAGGGTCAAGATTTGCACAAACTTTGACGTTTATATATCTAAGATACTACTCATTTACTAGTCAGCTGCGAAACTTTACAATTTACAATAACCGATTGCGATTGGAGCGCGCTTTCCGAGGCTGATCATAACGCTGTGAACCCCATTTAGGGCTGTATCGAAGCGGTGCCTTGGTGGTTTTGGAAGCGGATTTGAACATAAAGTAATACTCTCGACCTAGTTCACATTTATGTAAAGAAATCCGGGAAATTATGTGAAGGGAAGCAGGGAGCCACCCCAGGTGGCTCCCAGGTGGCGCTGGAGCCACCTAATTTCGAAAAACACTTACCATTTTTTAAATTCACATAAGTTTCTCATAATTCTTCATACTTTTTTTGTGCTCATGGTCCTCCAACTACACAGCAAATTTGGTGCCATATCGTTAATTGTGCATTGAAAACGAGCCTATTTTGTTATTTTCCTCTTACAAGAATTGCGATTTGATTTCCCGCCTGCGTTCAGGCTAGCGATCGGAGCACAGAATCTTCACATTGCTGGAATCTAAGTTCATAGGACAGTTGCATCAACAAGGAATGATGAATAAAGAATGGTATGTGCATTGTTTATCGGTAAGCAAAGGGGAAGTTGTATTTTGGGCTCCGCCGCGGACCCCAAAATACGACTTCCCCTTTGCTTTTTCGGGCCAAAAACGATATCCAGCTTGTGAAAGCGCCACCCCCGCCGGGCCCTGATCTGAACTCCTACTGTGTCCAAATGGACACTTCTATATATCAAAAGATGTGCCGCGCCGAGCTGAGTCGAATGATGGCTTTACATGCAGAATTCGTCCACTCTGAAGGCGAGATATGGCCACGCGACGGTGATGTTCATACATGATGCGACATTTGCGTCTGTTTTCCAAAAAATGTGAACGGTATTGTATATGTCATCTCACATCGTTTGCTTTAGATTTCTGTAGCTTTTTCTTACTTTTCACATTGAATCTACTAGTCGGATATGTTGCAAACATGTTTTAATTTAACTCAGCACTGATAATTAGCTCAAGTAATCAGGTACAAAACGCTTTTTCATGAGCCCAGAGTATCATTTGAACTTTATTAGTAAGCAGGGATAGTTTCCAGCGGTTCACTCCAAAAAGCAATGCTTTGCACTTCTTGTTGGCTTCACATGGGCAGACAAACAGATCACATAAATTTGCCTTTGTTCACAAAAAACGTTGACGTGTCTTTGACAGTATGTTTGTTTCGGTGGTTTTACAGCCGACTAAATGGTGATTGTTTCTCTTCATTTGATAAATTTTGTTACGTTAAGGAAGTAACGTCAAAACAAGATAAATTAATGAATACATCTACCTTTTGAAGTAATTTGTATGCTTCCTTCTTGGCGAGGGAGGGGAATCTGAAGAACACGGTAAAAATCATTTTGCTGCACTGCTTCTGTACAATATTACAATAATTTTTTGACTTTCACTTTGATGCCGGCAAACTATACAGTTGTAGTCAATTTCCAGTAGAAGGTACACTAATTAACCTTTTGATTCAACAGGATTAGCGGCTGGAAGGCGGGGCTTTGTGAACTAATTGACCTCTTGCCCGCGACGCAGTCTGCGTCTCTCTCGCGCGCGTGCTCTCTGATCATTTTCAACCTTAACCACGTCACGGAGCCCCGCCTTCCAATCGCCAATCCATTTAAATCAAAAGGTACCTTTATCATTCAGGCCAGAAAACCAGCAGAATTTTGTTCACCATGTGTTCCAGTACTTCTTGCAATTTTTGGTTTCCATTCTGTCAAAATAACATTCTACGTGACTCGTGCCTGGCTGAGCATTTGTTTTGAACATTATTGCATTTAATTATTTATTACAAGAGAACCACTAAGGTTTCTAATCTCTTGTAGCACAGTAGTTGTCGGCACTGCACGGTACACTCTGGCATACGTAGTTCTGATCATCACTGCAATCGTCGTTAAACCAACCATAACTGGAAGAAATCGGATTTGAAACAAAATGCAAGATTGGCAATGTTTGATATACCTGAACCCGGAATACTGGTACGTGTAGACGCAATCACCAGCATTGATATTAGGATATCCAGGTGCCCACATTTGGAAGTCAGAGTTTTGCTAAGACTCAGTAATTTTAGAAAAATTGGTTGAAAAATTGCTATGAAGTCTTACGAGGCATGTTCCATCAGCCCATTGATAGTACCCATCCACGTTCTTCAAACCAATCCAAAACTTGGTTTTTGATGGAAACACTGGAAAGAGCGTTCAAATGGCAGAATTTACTAATTTGTTAGAAATATGGCTCAAAAGCGCTTACTTGTGCTTAGGAATAGTGACTTATCCCTGCTTTCAACTTTAGCTAGAATAGCATTGTGATGTTGTCGGCAATTCTTGGCAGCTAGAGTCTAAACATTTATTTGGCGCATGAGTAAATGAAAATGTGAAGGTAATCCCAGGAAAATTCGGGTATCTGAAACTTTTACTCATATGCTAATGAAGAGGCTTTGACTAAGATAAGCAGAAGCTCAAAGATGCTCTAAAAAAGTCAACTCTTAACTCTCGCCCAGCACCCTGAGAACGATGATTGGTCGTTTAGCATGGAGTACGGTAGTGGGCGATGCTTTAGTTGTCTTCCACGAAGAATCATATAAATTTCACATACATGATTCATATCTGACCAAAACTTTCAGCCCTACACGTCCGCCCTACCGTAATCGAGAACAATGATTGGCCTGCTAGGCGGTAGTACGGTAGTAGGAGAAAGCGTAGTTTGAAGCTTCCACGATTGAATCATATAAGTGGCGATTGAGCAACTAAGGCTATTAGTTTTTGTTTTTCAGGTAATAAGCGAATGTACCCAGTTTTTTCTCTGACACTGCCTATAAAAAAATGTTGAATATGATACCTGGATCGCAGATATCGGAACGGGTCTATAGCAGCCACCGACGGGTACAACATCACCTTGAGTGTAGGGTAGATAGTTTGTGGGGCAGAAGCAATTGACTAAATGGGAGCAGTGCTAGCGTTACAAGCAAAGTATTTTACATAAATTTTCTTCATCCTCAATATTTTAGGTCAGAGATTGGTGAGTACATTGGGAAAAACTGGTATTTTCCCAAATTTTATTTATTTATTTATTTCATAGTGTCAACCTATGCCAACAATAACACAAATATTATGAATAAGAAACCAAGAACACATGCACAAGTCGAAATCTTGTGAGAATCAAAATTATAAACCCGCGATAGTATTATTATTGATTTTTTAGTAAGTAGTAATAGTAATTATGGATCTTTTTCCTTTGAAAAAGGGGATATAAAATTTGTGAAGGTAATTGTTTTGCATTACCTTAAACTTATACAAGTGGTGCATATAGTGACCTTTGATTCAACTGGAATGTCTGAAAAAGACGCAGACTGCCTCGCTCGCGCCCGCGACGCAGTCTGCGTCTCTTTCGCGCGCGTGCTCTCTGATAATTCTTTAGCCTTAATTAGGTCAGTCACGAAGCCCCGCCTTCCAGCCGCCAATCCAGTTGAATCAAAGGGTGCATAGCTAAGTTCTTTGATCCTATATGGCTATAGGCATACGACGATTCCCATTCTGTCAAGATAAATGGATCTAAAGCATCCAGACAGACTGGGAACTGTGATATACTAAAAAGTCTACCGCGTTGATCTGTAAACGAATCTTTTTATCAGTGAATAACCCTATCAAAAGAACCAACCTTAATGCAATGTAAAAACTCGTTTTTTCTGCAGGAGAAATTAACAAAACAGGTAATTCATATATTGATTTATAAGCTTATTGATTCAGTGAATTTATGATTCCGTTTAGTTTGATCTCTTTTAGTTATTTATTGATTCATGAGTATACTTGCTGTTAATCACTTACGCTAAATTCATAAAAGTTGACACTCACTTCTGCAGAAAGCTTGTCGTAGTTGTTCGGCTGTGAGATTTCCGTAACGATTTGTGAACGAGTACTCCGGTCCGCTAGAAAGTTTGTCCAACAAAGGCACCGGATTGCCGTGCTCTTGCAGATATTCTGAACACATTCATATCAGAAAAAATAATCCGCTTTTAAGTCCTTCGCGCTAAGATTACGGTATCTTAGGAGCTCAATTCCTGCCTTTCCAATGCCAGGCGGTCCAACAGAGAATTTGTACAAAATCTACCCAGATGAATATTTTTTAAGGGTTTTTGCACAGGTCTTTTGGAACTATCTTTACTAGTGGTACTGTAAAACATAAATTCTGGCTTACAGAACAAGTTCCTTAAGTGTTGTACTCATAAAAACAGTGAACTGTTTTGAAAAAAACCGCCGCTTAGTGCAATAGCACCATAAATCATACATGGGTTGGACTAATGGTAGAATCTGAGGATAGTGGGCCATAGCCACAATTCGCTAATATTTATTCAAAAAAATACCGTCTCTGTAAGAACAATACAAATTTTTATGATAATTACATAATTTGAAGTTTACTTAGTTGACTTAGCCTCCCCACCCCCCTCCCCCGGTCCAAAAAATTTCTCTGACACCTATTCTGTGATACCTTTATCAAGGGAAAATGGCAAGAAAACAGGAAGAGACTTGTTGTTTACATTTCACACTTTCACGATAATTTGAAGCAAATTAGGGGCAATAAAAATTGTTGCCTGAAAACTACCTTCAGCAGTAATTTCATTATGTCTATTTATTCACAGCTATAATTATGTCCACTTATTTTCACGACTAATGACTCATAAACTAGAGCTAATATAGTCTATTTCACATGTAAAGTCCTCCTTTAGAGTTACGCATGCGTGGCGCAAAATGGGCATACTGTACCATAGCAAAAGCATCAGCTAAAGTCTAATACAGGAAAAAATCTCATTTTATTAAGAATCTGTCTTCTTTCTGACGGCAAAATTTGCGCAGATTATGGAAAATCAAAAACCCTGAAAACTGCCTTTAACAGTATTTTTCTCCTTGTTACCTCACCTACGGTAATGATGAAACCACCGTCCTCAATAAATGTTTTCGCGATTTCTGTTGGATCGTTGTACTTTCCGCTCCTATAACCAAATTTACACTTCTAGGAAAAGTTCAGAAATCAAAAAAAAAACTACTCATAAGCTGAAGCAACTATAACAATAACTTTCTGCACGTTACTTCTATGCGATGACGTTTCAAAACTTTCAGCAGCTAATTTGATGGCGCTGAAAAAGTTAATGTTGACTCATATGCCTAAACAACCAAGCTTTTTTTTCCAATCTTGCTAATGAACTCACGCTTCAATATTTGTTCCTCTGTTGCCATCGTAATTGATGTTAAATTTATTAACCATGTCGTCTGATGATTGAAAAGCGGTCAAATCGTAGTTCTTATTCGCGTTGGCCGAGTATGAGATAAAGCTATAAAAATTCTTTCTTTAAGTAGCTTTTGAGTCAAATAAAAAATTCGAAGACAAACTTATTTAAATAAAAATACATTGGCTTTTTGAGAACAGAATTTCTAAGGCTCTACTAATATCTACAACAGCTAAATAATCGTATGGAACTATAATTGCCATCTATTACTTCGCAATAAAGAAGATGTTTAACGACACCTCTCTTCATTACTGTAGGGTTACGGTAGGAACATTTTTTTTTCGATATTGACTCAATCGTTTTTTTTTCGAAGTACCCTTTAATTAATGATATCATTGCAGTCTGTGAATGCCTTTGCTCAAAACGCCAATTCCTCCCTCTGAATCTAACTTTGATTTTGTTAAGCTACCCTTTGATTCAATTGAATTGGCGGCTGGAAGGAGGGACTTTGTGACCTAATTAAGGCTGGGTAATGATCAACGAGCACACGCGCGGGAAAGACGCAGATTGCGTAGCGGGCGCGAGCGACATTAACTAGGTCACAGAGTCCCGCCTTCCAGTCGCCAAGCCAGTTGAATCAAAGCCAGTTGAACACCTACCCAACACGAGTTTGTTGGCCATTTCCTTGTCCAATGTTCAACTTATAAAGCACAGATTGAGCGAAGGCTGTGGCCTGAAGTGAAAAATTGCAGTAAAAATTTCAAGAAGTGACTTCAGCCCACCTCATCGAATCCATTGCTAGTCATAGCTTGTGATGAATCCATTAGGAAGTACACATCTAACCAGATATTTTTATCAGTGCATGAACATTGATCCAAGGTTGGTGTTTCCAAAATCGAGCCGGAATGGGCAACAGGTTGTTGTTTAGGTTCACTTTCAGCTTGTAGTTTAGGTTGGCCCGTATAAGAATAGGGAACATTATAGCCCCTAGTCCAATCATACTCCCAACAATCGGTAGTATCGGTGGAATATTGTGAGGTTGTACTTGGGCTCCCCCACTTACAGGGAATATAGCCCTTAGAGTCAGTCCATATCTGACAATCGGTAGTGGTCTTGAATTGTGTACTCCTGCTTGGCGATGTCGACGCTGTTCTTGTCGTCCATGTCGTTTGCGTCGTAGATGTCGAGGGTATGCAGTTCGAAACATCCAAATTATTTTTTCCTTTCACGCCTAGCTTCAATATATCATTGCCGGGTTTCCTTATATTACTTTCGCAGCATGCTAGTCCAAAAAGGCCTGAAACGAAGATTATCTCAATATGATATTAAAGTATTCTGGACTAAAATTCATTGAAATTCATAGTTTTTCCCAAAATTCAATAAAATACTTTGCTTTGGTATGCACAGACATTTTTTTAAAAAATCTTGCACTTTCCAATGTATTTGAAGCAAAGAATACTATTTCTGCGCCGCAATGATAAAAATAAAGAAGAGTACCAAAAAAAATGTTTTTTTTAAATTTCGCTCAATGAAATTAATAAAAATTTACTGAATTCGTATTTTAGTTGCGCGTTGGCTTTATGGCATGCTTTTCTATCTGTGAGAATTTCGGCTGAGCGGACCTGATCGGCGTCCTTACGAGTAATTGCAATTTATGAAATTTTTTAAAATTAATTTTTCTGCCTCTAAGTCGAAAAAATCTCTGAATGATAAGGTACACTTTTTGATATTTGTTATAAAATGAAATGCTCAGGAAAAAATTACTCAAAAATTCCTAAAAAGAGTTTTTTATCGGTGCAAGATATGTACCTACCTTAACTACCTTAGAATTTCAGTAAAACTCACCTATAAAAAACAGGACTGTACTGAAAACGGCCCTCATGGGTGAAGAGCCCTAAGAATGATTAGAGCTGCTTAAATAGGAACGATCAACGACTTCACACTTGTCGGAGATAAGCTTTCTAGCGAATAATCAGGAAGTGTACACAGCGTTCGGCATTTGAGCATCGAAATTCAACATGGATGTTTTTTTTAGTAAAAAGAAGGGCAAATTTGATTCCATGAAATCCAATTACAATAAGTCATGAAATCAGTAGTAAATTAACTGAAGGCTTACAAAAATCGATTATTTTTTTGCCCTCAAATCCATTATCTTCTACTCGAATCTTCTCAAAGCTATTGAGCATACTGCTACAAAAATAAAAATAAATTATACAGTCCAATGGACTATTTTTCTCATACTTTTATCCACGTGGATCCAAGCAGATGCATCTTATATATAAAGCTGAATGTCTGTTAGTCTGTCTGTCTGTCTGTCTGTCTGTCTGTCTGTCTGTATGTCTGTACGTATGTTCCGAATAGAAAATTCCATTTCTGAACCGATCCGGACCAAACTTGGCACACATACACTTCGGGCCCCGGCGGGTGTCATAAGCTACTCTTCTTCATCGATCGATATCGCTTTTATCGATTTTTCAAAAAGTTCGCGCTACGGGGCTGGGAGTTGGCACAGGGGGGTAAGTGAGCATGCTGATTACGAATATATTATCGACAGGGCCGGGCGGAGCCGGGTCTGCCAACTAGTCAACATATAAAAAATACATTTGACGTACTGTTGAAGTCACGCTGCGGCGCTTCGCGAAAAATTTGCGCCGATGGCACCTCCTGACCGCTCCCCGGGGAATAGCAGTACAGTAATATTGCTGGCAGCCTATGTTATCTACCCCACAGCCAGTGAACAATGGTCTGGGCTGGACCGGGAAAGTCATCTAGCAGTAAATACAAGTTTACCTATTAAGGTAATTCGTAGGCTAATTGTAGTTCTTTAAAGGAAGGGGAGGGGGAAACCAAGGCCCGGCACGAGTCGGTTTCTAGGGTTTCTGAAAACGAAGTCTCCCCTGACTTTCGGAAGTTTTACGAGTCCCTCTTTGAACTATTTGCTTAGGAGAAGATGAAAACAAGAAAGATTTACTAATTTGAAAGAAAAGACGTAAGATAAGAGTGAAAATCAAAATTGGAGCTGAATACTACGCAAGGCTTTGACGTTAGAGCGCGATATTTAACAAAGCGAGAAGAAAGGAAGGCAAAAAACAAAGGAAAGGTAGTGATATAAGAATGTCTTTATGCTCAGGGATAGATTTTTGACCGGGGAATCCGTCCATGCTGAAAAGATCCGGAACTTATGTGAAGTGACGAAAATATATGCTCCAGACGATCTCAGATCGTCTGGTGGCCGTCTGGAGACGATCTAATTTAGGAAAAGGTATTACTTCACATAAGTTTTCAAATCTTCTTACATAATAATTTCGCAAATGATTTTCTATACATACAGTTCAATTTTGGTGTCATATGCTTCTGTGTGCGCTGTAAACAAGCAATTTGTTCATTTTAGCCCTGCTTTTAAATCGCGCGCACTTTTCGCTATGCACGATAGAGCATGTCAGTCGTGTGATAACCTGTCCGAAAAGCTTGTGTTCGACTAAATGGCGCTTATTCTTGGTGCTCGCTTCCCACTCGTCAGAAACGAAATCTCCTTTGCTGTTTGCTTCAAAGACAAAGTCCAGCCTGCTTCCAGACGACTGTGCCGGGTCCTCAGGGAAACCGAAAACTACGGTAAAACCATTTCACTGCATTGCATCTGTACACTTGCAATATCATAAACAATTTGACTTTCATTTTGATGCTGGTAAGCTACACAATTATAACCAATTTCCAGTGAAAAATACACTGCTGATTACCTTTACTATTCAGGCCAGAAACCAGCAGAATTCTGTTCACATGTTCTGTTCCAGCACTTCTTGCAATTTTCGGTTTCATTTTGTCTAAATAACATTCTACGTATTTCGTTCCTGGCTGAGCATTTGTTTTATACATCATTGCATCTAATTATTTATTACGAGAGAATCACTAAGATTTCTAATCTCTAGTAGCGCAGTAGTTGTCGGCGCTGCACGGTACACTCTGGCATACGTAGTTCTGATCATCACTGCAATCGTCGTTAAACCATCCGGAACTGAAAAAAATGACCATTTGGTTTAAGTAAATACGACCAGAGTAGGCGCATTTTAGAAAATCTACCTAAATCCGGAATACTGGTACGTATAGACGCAATCACCGGCATTAATATTCGGATATCCAGGTGCCCACATTTGGAAGTCAGAGTTTTGCTAAAGCTCATTACTTTCCAAAAAAAATTGGTTGACTTGGTATAAAGTCTTACGAGGCATGTTCCATCAGCCCATTGATAGTACCCATCTACGTTCTTCAAACCAATCCAGAACTTTGTTTTTGATGGAAACACTGGAATAAGCGTCCAAATGGCACAATTCATTATTTTGTTGAAAGTATGGCGCAAAAGCGCTTACTTGTACTCAGGAATGTTGACTTATCCCTGCTTTCAACTTTAGCAAGAATAGCATTATGATGTTGTCGGCAATTCTTGGCAGCTAGAGCCTAAACATTTATTTGGCACATGAAAAAAATGAAAATAAAAATGTGAAGGTATTCCCGGGAAAATTTGGGTGTCTGGAACTTTTACTTGTATGCTGATAAAGATTTCTATAAAAGAAATTCAACCCTAAACTCCGATGATTGATTTCTTTAGCATGGAGTACGGTAATGGGCGACGCTTTAGAGTTGAAGCTCTTCCACAAAGAATCATATAATAGTTACCTAAGCGAAACTTTCAACCCTACACGTCCGCCCTACCGTAATCGAGAACAATGATGGGCCTGCTAGGCGGGAGTACGGTAGTGGGCGAAAGTGTAGGTTTGAACTCCCACGATTAAATCCTGTAACTGCCGATTGAGCAACTGTGTAATCAAGGCAATAGGTTTTTTATAGGTAATGAGCGAATGTACCCAATTTCTTCTGAACTGCCTGTAAAAAATGATGAATATGATACCTGAATAGCAGATATTGGAACGGGTCTATAGCAGCCACCGACAGGTACAACATCACCTTGAGTGTAGGGCAGATAGTTTGTGGGGCAGAAGCAGTTGACTAAATAAGAGCAATTTTAGCGTCAGAAGCAAAGTGTTTTTTTATCTCTTTTCTTCATCTTCAATATTTTGAGTCAGGGGTTAATGAGTTACATCGGAAAAACTCGTTTGGTGTTTTCCCAAATTATAGATATTTTCCATTTGATTGTTTACCCAACGGCACACCCAGAATGTATCACAATAAATAAATAATTGAATTTGAAGGATGGGATATACAATTTGTTTAGATGAATGTTTTGCATTATCTTAACCCATTGACGACTACGCCTAATTTTGCGTGGCGGCGCTGTGAGACGACGCCATTTTACACAACAGTTGCGGTGTGGGAAGGTTTTGTGGTTATTTACAAAATGCCAGATTGTTTCCTAAACAACTGCAGACATTTTTTTGAACGACGGAGCCTACAGATCCCGAAAGTGCAGAAATTAGAAAAAATATCATCCTGTGGAAAAAATACTGGACCTACAAATAATATGAGTTTTTCAGAGGTGTCGGCCACCGGTGGTCCACATCATCGTCACTGGGTTGAACTTATACGAGGGTGCACACAGTAACCTTTGATTCAACTAGAATGGCGGCCGGAAGGCGGGGCTCTGTGACTCAATCAACAACGCCTGCGACGCAGTCTGCGTCTCTTTCGCGCGCGCTCTCTGATCATTCTCTAGCCTTATTTAGATCACTAAGCCCCGCCTTCCAGCCGCCAATCCAGTTATAGGGGTACACAGCTAAATTCTTTGATCCTATTTGGCTATAGGCATACGATAATTCCCACTCTATCTAGATAAACTACAGCATCCAGAGAGATTGGGAACTGCAATATACTGAAAAATTTGCCACTTTAATATGTAGAATTTTTTTATCAGTGAATATTCCTATCAAAAGACCAACCTTAATGCAATGTAAAAAAATAGTTTTCCTGCAGGAGAAATCAACAAAAAAGGCAATTTTTACATTGATTTATAGGCTTATTGATTTGTTGATTCTTGGTTATTCCGTTTAGCTTGATCTCATTTATTTATTTGTTTACTTATGAGTTCGCAACGAGGTGCTTCAAAAAAATCTCAATTACTTACTCTTAACTACTTATGCTAAATTTATAAAAAGTTGACACTTACTTCTGCAGAAAGCTTGTCGTAGTTGCTCGGCTGTGAGATTTCCGTAACGATTTGTGAACGAGTATTCGGGTCCGCTAGAGAGTTTGTCCAATAAAGGCACCGGATTACCGTGCTCTTGTAGATATTCTAAACACATTCATATCAGTGAAAATAATCCGCATTAAAGACCTTCGCGCTAGGATTACGGTATCTTAGGAGCCCAATTCCTGTCTTTTCAATGCCAGGCGGTCCAACAGAGAATTTGTACAAAATTTACCCAAACGAATAGTTTTTCAAGGGTTTTTACACAGAGTTGTTTGAATATATACAATAAATATACAATATATTCAATATTCCGTTAATATCATTCAATAGGAAGGTTACTGTATTAAAAAAATAACAGAAAACTTGCCCAACAATTATCCTTTGGAATTTACTAGTCAGTTTACAAATAAAGTCTCGTAGTGTTGCAGTTACATGAGTTTGTTATATTTAGTTTGAAAAGTCATTAAAAATAACTTCTGGATTTTTCAAAAACTGAATTAACTTCGTGAAAAAAATTTTGAGCTCAATACTTCGTGATTGTGGGTCTGCAATAAAAAAACATCTCGAAACTTTTTCGAATAGGCATGCAGGCTTAGCTTTAGCCATGCCCTTTCTTGAATGGAAAAAATTTGTCGTCTCTCTACCCCCCCCCCCCTCCTCTCCCTCTCTTCAACTCTGCTCGAAAAAATTACTCTGACAGCTATTCTGATGTTTTTAATGAGGAAAAATGGCAAAAAACCAGGAAAAGAGACTTATTGTTTACGTTTCACACTTTCTTCACGATAAATTTGAAGCAAATAGGGGTGCCAAAAATTTTTGCCCAAAAACTACTTTCAGCAGTATTTATTTTCATGTTCACTGTCTATTCACGACTAATGACTCGAAAACTACAGCTAATACAGTCTATTTCACATGTAAAGTCCTCTTTGCTTCAGAGTTACGCATGCGTGGCGCAAAATGGGCATGTACCACAACATAAACATCAGCCAAAGTCTTATACAGGGAGAATTCTTATTTTTGATTACGAGTTTATCTCCTGTCTGATGGCAAAATTTGCGCAGGTAAAAGGCCTTCAACACCATTTTTCTTCTTGTTACCTTACCTACGGTAATGATGAAACCACCGTCCTCAATGAATGTTTTCGCGATTTCTGTTGGATCGTTGTACTTTCCGCTTCTAAATAACCAAATTTACAATTTTAGGAAAAGTTCAGAAATCAAAAAACCTACTCATAAGCTGAAGCAACTATAACAATAACTTTCTGCACGTTACTTCGATGCGATGATGTTTCAAAACTTTCAGCAGCTAATTTGATGGCTCTGAAAAACTTATTGTTGACTCATTCGCCTGAACAAGCAAGTTTTTTCAATCTTGCTGATAAACTCACGCTTCAATATTTGTTCCTCTGTTGCCATCGTAATTGATGTTAAATTTATTAATCATGTCGTCTGATGATTGAAAGGCGGTCAAATCGTAGTTCTTATTCGCGTTGGCCGAGTAGGATATGAAGCTGCAAAAATTCTCTTGCTTGAATAATTTTTTTATTAAGTGGGCAAATTAAGAATGAAGTTCGAAAGCTATTTGAATGAAAATATGGTGGCTGCTGAACCATATGTACCCTTAAGGGCCGAGCATACTTTGCGCAATTTCAGTCACGACGTGATCTGGCAATGTTCCAACCAGGGTCAAGCATGTGATGCGACCGTCGCAACGGGGGTTCGTAAAGGGGGCCTACGGTAAGGGGGGGGGGGGTCGTAAGAGGGGCTAGTTTGGATAAATACGATTGAAAGCAAATCGCAAATAGCAAGTAGTTATTACATGTTCTTAACAATAAATTCATGGAATGCCGTGTACCAATGTATCAAATAAAAACGAGCGAACAATAATTTGAAAACATTTGCAAGCGTAAAAATTCGCTTCATTTGCTGCACTTTGCAAAGATTATGACTTAGTTCTTTTTTTTTATGGGAATCGCTATTTCTCCCGCAAAATATTATCTCAAACGGGGATCGAACCCTGCTGGCATGACTAAAATCCAAAAAAATAAACACTTTCAGAAGCTCAAATGCTACTAAAGGCATGTATGTGTGTTAAGATGTTGGATGTACCGATTGGTGTAGACATCCTGCTTCCGAAGGCTCACTGAAGACTCGCACACTCGACAAAAGCGCACATGTAGATCAACGATGACAATCAATAGTTCGTAAATCTTTTTGTGATGCCACTTATGCGGCCCTTACAATTTATATGTACTTTAGATAAGCTCCGCTACGGCTGTGCGAAATCTGGTGTCATTTTATAAACTGCGGATTTTCTTATGATTTTATGTATGGTAGCAAAAAATGAGAAATGGGGGGTCGTATCTGCGCCTGATCTAAATTTCTCCAGAGCTATTGAAGCTTGTTAGCTGCAAACTTGCTGTAATACGAGGCCATCCCTCTAGTTTTTATCATAAGAATTTCAGGCTGTTTTATAACTTCTTTGGTAAGTTACAAAATTTTAAGCTCAAAAATCCTAGTTTTTGCTTTTTAGGATCGCATCTAAATTTGCGAGAGCCTGATCTAATTTTTTTCGAGCTCACTGCTCCTCAAGGGCTGAAACTTTCTCTATGAATAGTCCGGGCACTATGCTACTGAACCTGTTCTTTGCACCCTCTCAGTCTTTTCCTGGCCTTAGTTACGAATTTTCAAACTACCGTGCTCATGCATGTTTTTGACGTCGTTCTGGACGGCGCTAAAGAGGTTTTTTTTCGCAGATAAAACTGTGGAAGAGGTGAGAACTGAGCTTCTTAGTCGAAAACATCTTTTGTAGTTCAAGAATGCCATTTTGTTCTCCGTGTAAAAATTTGTGTCGCATACGGGAATCGAATTTGCTGGCCTGAAGTATGCTTGAAAATTCAAAAGTAAGCTTGCAGAATCTCAAACATTATTGAGGGTGTGTATATGTGCTAGAGATGCTGGGCACACGCATTGGCCTAGAAATTCTGCTTCCGAAACCTCACTGAAGCTCTCACGCAGGTGTTTTTTGAGATTGACATCCGTTTATGCAGGTTACCGCGAGGTGGGCAGGGGAGGTAAGGGGGATAGACGGGGGAGGGGGGGGGGGAGGGGAACGGGGGGGTCGTACGGATGGGTACCTTTAAGGGGGGGGTCGTAAATGAGGGTCCAGGATCGCATCAACGCGCTTGACCCTGGTTCCAACTGTCCATAGCTCAATGTTAACACATTTTGAATGTACAGAAGATAGGGCATTTCATCAACCCACTTAAGTTATACACACTATGCATGTGCGGTTTGCTAGCGTTGAATCTGAAGATTTCTGGCGAACTGCCAGATCGCGTGGCGACTGAAATCGCGTGAAGTATGCCCAAGGCCTTAGGCTCTATTATCAAGCAACTACTGAACAATCATAGAAATTATCATTGTCATTCATTATTTCATCATGCCATTCCTCTACATTTTTTCTATATTGCCGAAAAGTATTCGCTTTCGTGTTATCGCTTACTTTGGCCGAATGAGAAATACAGCTGTTAAACTTCCTTGGACGATAAATCTTTACTGTGAAGCGTGTGCTTGTGGTATGGAAACAATTTTTTACAAAGACTACTCCGAATTCAATCTATATTCTTATTCACTCAAAGCTAAAGGAAGTCACATTTCCTTTTGTGACAAAGCTTTTTCCCAAAAATTTGTCGGCCAATAGAAATTGTACGAATGTCCAAAGATTGAAAGTTGGCTATGAGGTGGAAAGGATTTTGCCGTGGAGCTTGAAGTGCTACCAGGGATCGGCACGAGGTCTTTTGGGAAATGCAAAAAAACCGAAGTCCCATTGACATTCACAAAATTTTACGAGACCCCCTTTGACCCTGAATTATAATCCTAAAAAAGCTCCAAAAACGAAACGTCGACCAAGAACCGTCGCAAATTTTGTGTCTTTTCTCCCAAAAAAATGAAACCCTTTTGCTTTTTGTTCCAAGAACGATATCCAGCTTGCTTATCAAGCTACAGCCCTGAGTGCTACCAGTTCATTAAAGGTGTTTTAGAACTAAGTTATCAATACAAAAAGTGCAAGTACCGGCTGTTTTGGAGCAAATCTCTTCATAATATTCTTGCAGTGATATCTAAGAACAATTTTTCATAGATTCTACGAGGACTGCCTCCTTGCCACGTGTCACGAAAAAATTGACACGTTTTGGTCCATTTTGACAAGTTTTTTCGAAGTCATTTCCGGTGAGATAAAAGAGAATTTGTGATCATCTTAAACATATTTAACTGTTTTCTAAGAGAGCAAAACAGTCATGAACTTGGTCTGGAGCATCTTGCTTGCCTTAAGCGGTGATTTAAAAATGTATTTCTCTTCAAACCTTTTACGCCATACGAATTTAGCCGAAAAGACTATAAATGATAGCTTTAAGTGCCTTGATGTTGCTTATTTCGCCTCTTAAATGACGGAATCCTAGCTCACTTCTCTATCCTGAGCAAGTCTAATCTGTTCATCGATGATAGTATGTTGTTACTAATCTGACAATGTTCACTTTGAAACTGTTTGAACGAAATGAGATCAAAATTAGCTAAAAAACAGATTAAGCTTACATCGCTAGGTAGGGTAACACAGACTCTTTGTAAAACCTGTTAAACATGTAGGTGACATGTCAAATTTGCTTGACACGTGGCAGAAGGTTGACACTCCCTCCTGTTGAAACTGCGACAAGATAAGGTACAAGATAGAAGCAATATCCTTCTTTAAAAAAATGGGTCCGGATAACGGAAAAGTACCCTCTAAATTATAGGAAGTAAGTTAAAAAAAGTGTTGGTAAATTAGAGGGAGTTGCTCCACGGTGACTACTTATACAGAAAATCGTCTTTATTTAACTATCATAAGATAAAGTAGCAACATCACTTTGAGTTTTAGATTTTCTCAAGGTTTGAAAGTGTTTAAAACACTCTGTATTTGATGAACATTAGTACAGCTCGTTTTTAAGAGTCTCTTTAACTATTAGGTTGGTGCAAAGTAATACGCGTTCTTTCAGACCTTGTTTCAGAACAGCTTTGTTTTCATCGAACTTTCTTCTTTGGAAAAAATTTAGCACACTTTTAAGAAGTTCTTTTTATGCTCTGTGCAATGTTGGTTAAAACGGGCTTCGTCATTCGTTAAAAAATTATAGAGCTTCACGCAATCGTACTCAAAACCAGAATTTCGTAGCATATACTCTTCTGAGCAGAATTTGAACTCGAATGAAGGCATTCTTTTGAGAATTCAGCTTCTTTACTTAAATGGAATTATCTACATTATGCATGCTTATCCATATTTTCTGAGATCATCTAATTTGAGATATCAACACCTCAACATGGGTAGTCGCTGCATTCATTCTATGGTCCATGTCAATCCATATTTTCTCGATATTTATTATACTTGTAATATGAGTATAGGGGACTATGCGCTGTATCGCAAAAGGTTTGCTGCTTCTGATGGTCTTTGGCGCAATGCAAAATGTGAAATTTTTTAATAATTTACAGCAAGTTGAGTACTTACCCAGCACGAGTTTGCTGGCCATTTCCTTGTCCAATGTTAAGCTTATAAAGCACAGATTGAGCGAACGATGTGGCCTGAAACGAAAAATTGCATTAAGAATGCCAAGAAGTGACTTCAACCCACCTCATCAAATCCGTTTCTCGTCATAGCTTGCGATGAATCCATGAGAAAGTAGACATCAAGCCAGATATTTTTATCAGTGCATGAACATTGATTTAAGGTTGGAGTTTCCAAAAGCGAGCCGGAATGGGCAGCTTGTTGTTTTGGTTCACTTTCAGCTTGTAGTTTAGGTTGGCCCGTATAGGAACAGGGAACATTATAGCCCCTAGTCCAATCATACTCCCAACAATCGGTGGAAACGGTGGAGTATTGTGAGGTTGTACTGTCCGTGGATGCATCCGTGGATGCACTCTCCGTGGTCATCCACGAACAGGGAACATAGCCCCTATACCAGTCCCACACCAAACAATCAGGAGTGGAGGTCTCAGATTCTGTAGTCATGCTTGGCGGCGAAGTCCTTCGCGGTGTAGCTGTCGTCCATGTCTGCGTCGTAGTTGTCGAGGGTATGCAATTCGAAACATCCAAATTATTTTTTCCTTTCACGCCTAGCTTCGATATATCATTGCCGGGTTTCCTCATATTACTTTCGCAGCATGCTAGTCCAAAAAGGCCTGAAAACGAAGATTTTGCGTGTTTGATACCAAAGTTTTTTTGAACGAAAACTTATTAAAAATCATAATCTTTTTTTTAAATTCAATAAAATGCTTTACTTTGGTATACACTGGTATTTTCTGAGAAAATCTTGCACTTTTCATTGTATTTCAAGCCAAAGAAGTTGTTGCTACGTCGCAATGATAAAAATAAAGAAGAGAAGCCGAAATATGTTTTTCGTGAATTCCTCTCATTCAAAAATGAAAGTTTACTAATTCATATTTTAGTTTTGCATTGGCTTTATGAAATGTGCTTTCTATTGCAAGAACTAGTTAGCCAGTAATCTAAAGGTGCTATTTGGAAAAGCGTTCGCTTCGGGACCACCACACATCCCGCTATCTGCGGATTTTTGTATTTAGTTAACGATTCTTTATATATTAGATTTCGGCTAGTTGGATTAGTGTAAATGCTATTTTTTCCATTAATTTTTCTGCTTTTGAGTCGAAAATTTGTTTTTGAATTTTGATAAAAAGCTTCTTTGATATTTGTTACAAAATGAAGTACTTTTTACCAAAATTTATTAAAATTCATGATCTGTAAAAAATTACTTGAAAATTCCTAAAAAGAATTTTTCATATTGGTGCAAGACTTACGTATCAACCTTAGAGATGAGTGTAATTTCAATAAAACTCACCTATAAAAAACAGGGCTGTACTGAAGATGGCCCTCATGGGTGAAAAGACCTAAGAGATATTAGAGCTGCTTAAATAGACAACGATCAGCAACTTCACACTCTTGTCGGAGATAAGCTTTGTAGCGATTAATCTGAATTGTACACAGCGTTTGGCATTTGAGTATCGAATTTCAACATGGAAGCTTTTTTTGGTAAAAAGAAAAACGGCAATCTGATTTCAAGAAATTTAACCACGATAAAAGTCATGAAATTAAATTCTTCAGCAGAGGACCTACAAAATCGGTTATTTATTCGCCCTTAAATCCATTATCTTCTCCCTGAAGCTTCACGGGGCTATTGACATAGTGCTAAAAAATGAAAATAAAATGTGGCCAGCAGACCCTATAAATACCACAGTGCTCTGATAAATTGTGATTATAACATCAAGGACTAGTAACCAGAAAAACTTACGAAGCGCACTTGAAATTTTCTAATATCTTTTTGGTCTTAAAATACAAGGTGTCCCAAAAGTAACTACACACTTTTTGATCGTTAATAACACTTTTCCCAACAACTTTTCCTTAGCTTCAAGTAGTATTCAGTGGAGGAAGCTTCAGCTTAGATTCACATTATGAAGCAAATCACCCATCGCTCTTCATTACTGTAGGATTACGGTAGGGATTTTGAGGGGTTTTGAGCCATTAGTGGCTAGATATTGTTCTAGAATAGATGATCAAAGAGAAGAAAACTTTAATATTAGGCTAAACCATTCGCTGATTATCATTAGGAAATTCGCACTTTACCGTAAGACTTTTTTTGTAATTTTCATTTACCTAAGTAAACCGCTAAGTAAACCGCAACGACGTTTTTCTAGTGTTTTTCAAAACGTGATCAAGCCACTTAAAACTGTTTAAAATTCATAATCTCCGTCTGATAGAGTCAGCATGTCTGAGAACATTGCTACAAGACCTTTCAGATTTTTGAAACTTTTTGTTCAATGTTCAAAGCATCTATTTCACAATTACGCTGTATGTTGGAAGTTCCTACCGTACTCCCTACACAGTAATGGACGGCGATGGATGACTTGCTCCGCACAGACTACTTTGAAAAAATTTCACGACCCATTCCCGGCAAGGGACCCTTTACACGATGAAATTTGTCAGATGACTGAGGAATTAAGTGATTCCCAAAAATGTATTTTTACTGAATTTTATCAGCTAATACTTCTTGTTTAGGATATATAACATAATAAGAGATTATTCTGAACTAAATTAAATTCATTTGAGAATTGTGCTAATTCTTCTCAAACACATGATGTTCCCATTGATTAGGAGGCATTTATCAAAATTAATGCTGTCGAGTAGAAATACACCATTCCTGCAAGACGTTCTTATGCTTTAAAAACTCCAGAATTTTCGGTTCTTCAAAGAGTTTTGCGAGCCCTTTAGACTTCTTGGTCATAAATGTTTACTATAGCGCCATTTACTTCCTTGTGCTGACTTAGTGCTAAAGCATTTCTGCTAGCCTACGCCATTTATCACCTCGATAATCGCTTCGGAGCTGCTTATCTCCAACAAAGCTTCCCTAAAAAGGTCGCATTATGCTCAGCATGCAAAAAATCAACGAGCGCATTACGTGAGAAATGACGTCTTATCAGAATAGAGCGAAAGACTCACTCCAGGATTTTGGATAATCAGCGAGTTCATTTTTCTTTCAAAATTGGAACATGCAAAGGACACGAGGAGTTCCTGTGCCCTTAATATGTATGTGGCATACATATTAAGGGCACAGGAACTCCTCGTATCATATTCGCATATCAGAAACATCTTAAACGTTTATTCACTTTTTTCTTCAAATTAGGTCATAAAGGCTATTTCACTGGATTGATGATCATTCCAAAATTTTCTATAGTGTTTTTTCTTTATCTATCCGTATTTTTGGACAAATTTGTTATGTTTGTACCTAATTTTTATGACTTGTTTCCCAACTTTTCTCTTTCAGACTTGACGCAATCGTTTTTGCGCATAATTTGGGTCAGCTGGCGGGGTACAAATATGCGCAAGCATTGATTTCTGGAAGCGAAATGAAGAAAGTTTACGCATTTCTCAAACGCTGGTTTAATTCGAAATTTCAAAGGTGCAAAAAAACCACTCTCAGTGTGAATCAAATCAAATCTCCGCACAAGGCGGCGTTTCGAAAATGCAAAAAAGCGAAGTCCCCCTGACGTGCGCAAAATTTCACGACGTCCCCTTCAAACTCACATCCGAAATACCGCACCGGCTAGAAAAACGAGACGTCTATTGATAAACTAATTTTGGACCCACAAAAACGATGTCCCCTTTGTTTTTGTCTCAGAAACGATAGGGGCTTGCTTATAAGCTACCTGTGCCGAGCCCTGAATCAAACACATCAAGCCAAAACTGTATAGGTCGTTAGAGATCAACGTAAAAAACAATTTATGTACAGTTTCAGCTTGATGCGAACTGGGAAGCGCGTCATTTCAATTGACCATTTATTCTGGCCCTTGAAATTTCAGAATTGACCATTTTTCAAAAAAAATGCTTGGATTTTCTTTGATTCTATATCATAGATCAAATTGCTTGCATATATGTGTAGCTCACCACCTATAGGTGGTGACGATTGCGTCAAGTCTGAAAGAGAAAAGTTGGGAAACAAGTCATAAAAATTAGGTACAAACATAACAAATTTGTCCAAAAATACGGATAGATAAAGAAAAAACACTATAGAAAATTTTGGAATGATCATCAATCCAGTGAAATAGCCTTTATGACCTAATTTGAAGAAAAAAGTGAATAAACGTTTAAGATGTTTCTGATATGCGAATATGATACGAGGAGTTCCTGTGCCCTTAATATGTATGCCACATACATATTAAGGGCACAGGAACTCCTCGTGTCCTTTGCATGTTCCAATTTTGAAAGAAAAATGAACTCGCTGATTATCCAAAATCCTGGAGTGAGTCTTTCGCTCTATTCTGATAAGACGTCATTTCTCACGTAATGCGCTCGTTGATTTTTTGCATGCTGAGCATAATGCGACCTTTTTAGGGAAGCTTTGTTGGAGATAAGCAGCTCCGAAGCGATTATCGAGGTGATAAATGGCGTAGGCTAGCAGAAATGCTTTAGCACTAAGTCAGCACAAGGAAGTAAATGGCGCTATAGTAAACATTTATGACCAAGAAGTCTAAAGGGCTCGCAAAACTCTTTGAAGAACCGAAAATTCTGGAGTTTTTAAAGCATAAGAACGTCTTGCAGGAATGGTGTATTTCTACTCGACAGCATTAATTTTGATAAATGCCTCCTAATCAATGGGAACATCATGTGTTTGAGAAGAATTAGCACAATTCTCAAATGAATTTAATTTAGTTCAGAATAATCTCTTATTATAGCTGATCACTTTTTTCACTGTATTATCCATCACTCGGTTATTGAGGATGCCCCTACCCCAGTTAATTCAAAAATACAGGGACCTCAAAAAATGTGCACACTTTGAATCTTCGATAATTCCCCTACTTCAGCGTCTTTTGTCGTTTTTTGGGCACCATTCTGTAGAGCTGAATCCAACTTTGGTTTCCAGTATAGAGCTCATCACTTATCTTTTTTCATTACTGTAGGATTACTGTAGGACCTTTGAAGAGGGACTTAAGCCGTAAGAGTCGCATTTCGCCCCAGAAAGGAAACCAAACTAGCCAAAAACTTTCATATTAGGCTAATTAGAGTTGCTGATTACAGTTCTTCATAAGTTGTTTCAGGAAACTAGTAACAACTGCTCTTTCAAGGTTCTTCAGAAATGTGATTACAGCTCTGAAAAGGCATTTTTGTAAAGAGATGTATGAAATCGATATGCTTGAAAATCCTCCTACAAAATTTTTAGATTTTTTCGGAATAAGGTTCGCACCGTAATGCTACACAAGCGAAGAGAGTTGTGATGGCTCCATACTCTGAATCTAATTGTAAGTTAAAGCCAGCTCTGCAAAATAGTACTCAAAGGTCGGCGGAAGACATCGAAGCAAGCGAGTTATTGATGATCGGATAGATTACGAAGTTTATAGTATTCAATCATTGAAATAAAGAATTTATAATAAACAAGGTTCCGTTTTATGATGTTTATGACGTTTGAGGGGGATTTCCAATCTTGTTAAGCGAGCACCGGTCCTGAATTTGTGGGACTCTCGATTTCGTTGTTGTTAAGATTTGTAACTTTCTTGTCAATTTATTGTTAGACTTACAGTTTGGATAACCACCGATTCTTCTATATAACTGTAGCTTTACGGATATCTTGAAAAGGGGTCTTCCTTCCCCTATATTGCCTTAGAAAGCAAACCAAACGACCTAAAAATTGTTACATCAACCTAGTCGGAGGCGCTGACACCAATTATGAAATTACTAAAATTACTATGTATTTTACTGTAATTCGTTCATGAGTTATGGCAACTATACCGTGATAACTGTTATCTTGATGTTCCTTGGAAATGTCATCACATCATTTACAATCCCAGGACTTTGAACATAAGTAGTATCAGCACGCGCAAAACCCTGGTACACAATTTTCGGATGCTAATTACAATGGCAATGTTTACTGTTTATGCGAATTTTTTACCGTAATCCTACAGTGATGAAGGGCATCATAATCTGCCTTGTACTGAAGATCTAAATTGAAGCGAGCTCTACAATATGAAGTGTAAGGACGGCGGAAGCTTTCCACTTAGGATACCTATCACCGGTCAAAGTATACGTTTTTGCAACGCTCTATATGTGAGCTACATAATAGTTTTCCTTGCAATACATCCAACCACATTTTTGTCTGAGTCATGGCTTCTAATCATTTATTGCGAAAAAATAATAAAGCCTCTATTCTCTAGTAGTGCAGTAGTTGTCGGCGCTGCATGGTACACTCTGGCAGACGTAATTCTGGTCATCACTGCAGTCATCGTTGAACCATCCATAGCTGGAAAATCAACGTTTGGTTAGGTAAGCGTCTAATATATTTTTAGCGGCGAACTAAGTTATGCGCCATACTTGATTCACTTGATTCACTTATTCCACTTGATTCATTAGATTCGCTTCACTATTGGTCAAGTCAGCGAATTGACCAGTAGCGAAGCGAATGTTCACTTAATAATCCACTTGATCTACTTCTTTTGATTCCATTGGTTTGATACACTGATTTCACCAAAAGCGAAAAAAGCGAAGTGGATGAAGTGGATCAAGCAGAACAGTTGCATCAAGTATGGCGTGTGCCTAAAAAGCACGCACGGGGGGGGGGAGAGTAGGAAAAATAGTTTGCCCTTCAATTATGGTCCATAAGTATGCAAACAGCTAACTTATTTTGCCTGGCGTCCAAATATTGACTTAGAAAAAACAACTGTGCAAAAAGCTATTCGGGAATGCACTAATATCCAGGAAGACCGCACCACATCTAATTTCAAAGACAGTGTCGCTGCAGAATTTCGTCTTCCAATTTTTCACCTTTTCGGAGCCTTTTTTCCACGAGGAATCCATATCTGTGCTTTTCAGCGCATTAAAAATGCGAAAATGTGCTTTTTCCGAAGCTTTTCTGGTCTGAAATCAGTGGAGTAAACGTATAAGTGGGTGGGGCCTGGAAAGAGGGAGGAAGGATGCGAAAGGCTTCCGGCGTATCTTTACTGAATGCGAAACTGAAAGGTTTCGGAAAAAGCTGGTTTTCGCCATTCTCATGAGCTGAAAAAATAACAGGTAAGGATTCCCTATGGCGAAAAGGCTCCGAAAAGGTGAAGAACCGGAAAACGAAATTCCGCCGAGACACTGCCTTTAACATATTGACGATTGTTTAACACACATAGTGTGTCAAGCAAAGACTGTGTCAGACCGCTTGGCACACATGATGTGTCAAGGCTTTTATTTCGTTGAAATGACGACTATTTTGCTACAAGCTTATTCCAGGATTTTTCTTTGCGCTGTATGTAGAAGTAACCGCCATCTTTCTTGTCAGCCTTTTAGAGCTACGTAGGTATATTGTAGATGGCAGTACAAACGATTCAATTTAAAAATATTGTCTGGTTTGTGAGGGGCCTCGTTCCAAACGGTAGGCGTCAATTGTTAAAGGCAGCGTCCCACCAGATTGGGGGGGGGGGTACCTGGCTCTGGTCTTAATGTAATAGTAGACCCCCTAACTAAACGACGACAGAAGTTTGCAGCACGAAAGGGGGTCTACGAAATCTACAAACTGCCTCCCAAGTGGCCGAAATTATCTAACGGTGGCCCGAACGCCGCCCACAGATTAATTTCGAACCGCAAGGCCAGAGCAGCGCATAGTGCCCACTGTCATGAGTGCAGAGTCCCACAACGACTCTGCGTCTCTACCTTGCATGCATCTCGTACTCGCCCGAGCCTACCGTAAGATTCGGATATGTAGACTTCATAGACCCCCTTTCGCGCTGCAAACTTCTGTCGTCGCTTAGTTAGGGGGCCTACTTTTACATTGATAAGAGCTACCCCCATTCAATCGGTGGGACGCTGCCTTTAAGGAGAGCGCAAACAATGCCCACACTTTCTCCGAAAAATTTTTGCGGTATCGATGGAACAGCCACTGCTCAGATAATCGCCGAGGGCAGGCGGCCCTGCGAATTTTGAGCAAGCGGGCACCGGGAAAATAGTTCGCTGATTTTTTTGCGGTCCGCTTGCAGAAATTTGAAATAATTTTGGCCAATTTTTGGACGAACGCTTGGAGAAGAATTGCGGTTTTTCCTTTGCAGGGTTATTGGGGGCCGCACGGTCCTTTGTGGAGGGCCGCGCAGCACTTGGGTACCTTCCGCTGGGGGAAGGTTCCCCAAACTTGGGTAACCAAACCGTCGATGACACCTCTGTCACATAGAGTCTCGCCTTTTCTCGGCGTATGCCCGAAACTGCGTAAAGAGAGTCCGAGCGCTTGCTGAAAGTTTGGCCAACGCTCGCTGAAAGAAATTATTTGCCGAGCGCTTGCAAAAAATGCTATATTGCTGCCCGCTGGCAGAATATGCGACCTTAAAGAAGTGCCGCCTGCTGAGTTTGGCCACGCCCCAAAATTCTGCTGACCGCCTGCAGAAAAGCGCGAGTTTGCGGACCGCTTGCCCCCGGCGATTATCTGAGTAGTCGCATGCTTAAGTTGAGTTTCTGAAAAATCTTACCTGAATCCGGCATACTGGTACATGTACACGCACAAGCCGGCATTAGCATTAGGATATCCTGGTGCCCACATTTGGAAATCATAGTATTGCTAAATTTCAATAATCTTCGACTATGGAATAGAGATGATTCATTTCTTACATCCAGATATGTTCCATCAGCCCATTGGTAATACCCATTGACATACTTCAAACCAATCCAGAATTTAGTTTTCGATGGAAATACTGAAAAGTAATTTTTAAGCAAATTCTCTTTTTTTAATCTGACAAGCATTATAGCTGGCACAATTGATCACCTGTGCTCAAGAATTGTGACTTATCTCTGCTTTCAACTTTTGCGAGAACAGCATTGTGATGTTGTCGACAGTTCTTAGCAGCAAGAGTCTAAAATAAAATTTTAAGCAATAATCAAAGCTAAAGGAGATTAGCAGTAGCAGTATACCTGGATTGCAGATATGGGAACGGGTCTATAGCAGCCACCAGTAGGTACAACATCACCTTGATTGAATGGCAGATAGTTTGTAGGACAGAAGCAGTTAACTAAATGGGCATGTTAATGATATTTGAAATTTATTCTTATCATGCCAATGTGCTCCAGTCGCTTTGAAAAAAAGTAAGATTTTGCATTATTGCAAAGAAAAAAGCCACCTTTAACCTCCGTTCCGCTACTTTGAAGTCAATCTTTAGAATGCAATGAAAATCTTGATCAAATTGTCTTATCTGGTTTATTTCTCTATCATAACTGGCATACTCAACTGTACTGGCTGTCCCAAAAAAATGTGAACACTGTTTGATTGTTAATAACTCCCTTGCTTTCATTTCTTTCGCCGAGATTGAGGCACCATTTCATAGAGTGAGGTATAACTTAGATGTGTAGCATGAAGCGGATCACCATTCTCTCTTCGTTACTGTAGGATTACGGTGGGAACTTCGACAAGGATTTTAGACCATTGGAGGCCATATTCTCCTCGGAACAAAACCAAACAAGCCAAAAACTTTTATACTATGGTAAGAAAGCCGCTGATTTCGAATATGAGCTTTCCGCTATACTGTGATGATTCTTTCCAAATTTATTTTAGGTAAACCGCAACAACTGAATTTCCAGCATTTGTCAAAAATGTGATTACACCGTCAAAAAAACTAAGAACACTCGTAAAAAGTTGTGCAATGGAATCAGCGAGCGCGAGAACCTTAGTACACGGTATTTCAGATTTTTGAAAAAAAATTTGTCAAATGGCATATTTCACAATAGATCCACATGCTATAAGTTCATACCGTAATCCTACAGTAGCGAACAGCGATCGGTGATTCGCTCCCTACTAAAAATCTAAGATGAACCTCGCTCTACAGAATGGTGCCTCAAGCTCGGCGAAAGACATGAAAGCAACGGAGTTATTAACGAGCAAACAGTGTTCACATTTTTTTGGGACACCCTGTATATCAACTGATATGGTAGTGGAAATTTTGCCTACAGTACCCCTACAGTAACCCAACATGTTGTGACGTGCAGGCATAATTTGTCAAAATGAGAAATTCTTTAGATTCCTTCAAAATTTCTTGATTAGATTTTCAAAAATCTGAAGGGAGAATAAAGAGGAGTGATATTCTTTTTATTGAACAAAAATTTACTAAGTCTCATATATAAAGCTGAATGTCTGTTTGTCTGTCTGTCTGTCTATCTGTATGTCTGTACGTATGTTCCGAATAGAAAATTCCATTTCTGAACCGATCCGGACCAAACTTGGCACACATACACATCGGGTCCCGGCGGGTGTCATAGGCCACTTTTCGTCATCGATCGATAACGAAAAGTGGACTGTGACACCCGCCGGGGCCCGAAGTGTATGTGTGCCAAGTTTGGTCCGGATCGGTTAAGAAATGGAATTTTCTATTCGGAACATACGGCGGAGCCGGGTAAACCAGCTAGTCATATATAAAGCTTTCAAAAATCGTGAAAATGGCGCGACCGCACGCGATACGCGCGCACTGCCGACAACCGCATTTTTTTGGTTTTCATCTCAGCTCAAATGGTTTTTCTGCTTACGTATGATAGTATTAGGTTGGCTAATAAGTAAGTTCTTTTTAACATGCAAATTTAAATCTTTACAACAATTCAAATAACAGCTATTCAGCTAAGTTATTTTCGTGAGAAGATATCCTCGAGCCTCTAATCTGATATATCAAATAGTCAAGATTTTCTGTTAGCGAAACATGACAGTTATAACCTTATATGGTCAGAACTTTTGAAAAATCGCTTTTTTGATTTTCTAGCCTTAATTCTCAGCCTGCAGTGATTTGGTACTAACTGGTGAACCAAAATAAGATTGTGACCTGCTATTTTTGAATTTCTGTAGTCAAAATTGTGAAAATTTCCACGCATTTGCGCGTGAAGGTCAAATTTTGGGCACTCTCGAATTTGGCCACCTATGGCCATGCAAATGGGTTAAGATTCAAAAATTTGTTGTGTGGGCAGCGATTCTACGCTTTACACCCGACTTCAATTCGTTTTTTGGAGCGTGATTTTTTCAAAAATTTGAGGAAAAAATCTGGCTTATTTTCTTTCCTTCATCATTTCATTATCAAAAAAATTATTTTTGAAAAAACAGAGTCAACCATCCGACTCTCCTTGATTTGCTCTTTTCAGTGATTCCATATAATGAAGACAAAAATATATACACACAAAAATTGATTTATGACAATTCTACAAGCCGCTGAAAACGACCGAACTTATTTTTTTTACCTAACCTAATATTTAAACTTTAGAGGTAACTGAGTTGAGCGTTAAGGTGATGCCTTTCCGTATGAGTGATTTATGCTCCTATGAGCGCAATGACCGCAGTCAAATTTGTCATCACGGTTTTATATATGACCTATATAGCAATTTTTTAACCGATTGATCTATCGTTTCTTTCATATTCATCCACTTCCACCATTCATTTCAACACTTCATGCCACACTCTACTTTTAGTAGAACTTACTTCTGCAGAAAGCTTGTCGAACTTGATCGGTTGTAAGATTTCCAAAGCGATTTGTAAATGTATATGCCGGCCCGCTAGAGAGTTTGTCCAACAAAGGCACCGGCTCACCGTGTTCTTGCAAATATTCTGAAAGTAAATCATATTTTTTTGTAGCTTGTAGTTTCAGCCAGTTCTTTTTAGTTTTTACTAAGAAAAAGGAGAAAAATCTGTATTTCCATCTATTTTCATCTCCACTTGCATTCAATTCTAAATTCGTACAATAAAGTTTAGTCTAGCAAAAATTGAAAGTGAAGTTTAAGACTTTTTCTCATACAGCTTCCGAAAGCAATTCCATTTTGTTGGCTTACCTACGGTAATGATGAAACCACCATCTTCGATAAAGGTTTTGGCAATCTCAGTTGGATCATTGTATTTGCCGCTCCTGAAAAATTGAAATCTCGATTCGTTTGAACTAAAATGCTTGTAAGGAAGTAAAAGATACTTACTCATAAGCCGAAGCAACGATAACCATAACTTTTTGTACATTGTCTCGATGCGATGATGTTTCAAAGCTTTCTGCAGCTAATCTTATGGCACTGAAAAATTTGTTATCATTTGATAAAATTCCAAGATTTTGTTTGGATAGAAAAGCAGCTAAGCTTCCAAAGGTTTGCTAATGAACTCACGACTCAATATTTGTTCCTCTGTTGCCATCGTAAGTAAGGTCAGCGTTATTGAGCATGTCGTCGGATGATTGGAATGCGGTCAAATCATAGATTTTGTTTGCGTTGGCCGAGTATGAGATGAAGCTAAAAAAAATCTTTATTTAAATATTTCTTGCAAGATGAGATTCTGAGGAAAAGAAAATGTAAAGCTGCAAGATTTGAGAATGTAAAAAAAACATGTGAAAATAGTAAAGGACAAAGCAGACTTTTGAAATATTCAAATTTCACACAAGCTTCTCCTCAAAGACAGCGTCCCTCCAAAATTTCACCTTCCATATTTTTGACATTCTGGGCCTTTCCATGGCCTGAATTAAACTTACAAAGCTCAAAATGTGAAAAACTCCCAAAGAACCGTCCTTTGGCAAACCTTGCCTAGAAGGCGTGGGCGACTCTTATTCTTTGGATGGGCGGAGCTTGATAGCTTAGGCGTGGCTTGATAGTACTTTTGAAATTTTCAAGCCATTTTCTCTATTCAGAAACAACAATGAAGGATCGTATCAACGCAGATGCTCTTCCTTTGGGACCTACATTCAGGCTAGGTACTAATCGGGTACATTTTTCCTGGATGTTGCTCTTATCACGATGGGTCCCACCAGCGGTGTCACTTGAACTTATTGAGGACCACGGGACAATAATCTAACTCTTACTGATTAAGCATGCGAATGAGCTAGGGAACGCCCTGCTAAATTTAGAGAGGCTTTCCGAAAAAGATCCCTGCATTTACTTACCCGGCACGAGTCTGTTGGCCGCTTCCTTGTCCAATGTTCAGCTTGTACAGCACAGATTCGGCGAAGGAGGTAGCCTTGAAGAGAAAAATTCGTGCTTGTTTGAAAAGATATTTTTTTTTCTATGATTGCTGTGATGATAACGGCTGTTCCCAAGACTCCAATGTGTCTGCTACAGCTAGCAAAAATGTCAATTTCTATCTAGGAAAAATTGCATTCTGGCATTTTGCGGCTACCCATGACTTGGAAGCAGATCTGTATTTGCGAAAGACCAAAGAGCACTAGATCACGAAAGTACACATGAAGCAGCAAAAAAATGGCCATAATTTTGTATCAACCATTAGTTTTATTAACGTACCTCATCGAAGCCATTAGTAGTCATAGCTAAAGATGAGTCCATGAGAAAATATACGTCTATCCAGATATTTCTCTCAGTGCATGAACATTGATCCAAGAGAGTGCTTTGAGACGGGCTGAGAGTAGAAAAAATATAAGTTGTTGTTGCACTCAACGTCTATAGAAGTTCACGTTCAATGTGTTTGGCCCAAAAATTGTAACTGACTCGATTGTGGAGGTGTCCCAGTAATTCCAATCCTCCTCTTTTTTCTCAGGCGCACAACATGCTAATCCAAAAATGCCTAAATTGATGACAGATGAATTGGGAAAATAAGATGGTTGCAGAAATCTCACCTATGAAAAACAAAACCGTGCTGGAAATGGCCCTCATGGGGAAAAAGGTCTGATAGCGATTGAAGTTGCGTTAAATAGAGAAAGAGCAAAGACCTCCCACTTTTCGGAGATAAGCTTTGCGGCGATTATTCAGACTCATGGGGTGACCAGAATCTAGAACATAAAAGCAGGAAGGTACCGGTTTTATTCACAGTTATTTGGCTCGTAATAAGCCAGAATCAGCCATTGGAATCACCCTACAGCGAGAAAAAAATCTTTTTATTACCTTTTCCGCTAAAGATCTTATAAAAGTCTATAGACTCACTAGTTTTTGTTTGAGAAAGTCCAAGAAAAAGATGATTGAGAATTCGATAGCCTTTTAGAGCCCTGAATGATTTTTCTTGTGATTTTCACGAACTGACGTAGAATTTATTCATTTATCCACTTATCATTACACGCATAGATGCACCAAAAAAGTCAAAAAAATGCAAGATGTGATCTAATTTGGCACTCCTCCAGAAGATTGATTCTTTGGCACTAGAATCACACTTCTATTTGAAAAAAATTTGTAATTTTCTGCAAATTTGTTTTCTTGTAATCGTTACGCAACACATCAAATGACTTTTATAACATCACCAAGGGTAAGTTTATAAAAGGCTCTCACACTAGTTTCTTTGAAAGGTACCCATAATGACACTATTTTGAAGTTGATTTAACGCTAATCTGAGCATTCTTGCTATCCTAAGCCTTTTATCAACTCGATTGTCACCTTGAAAGTGTTATCTCGTCCAAACACTAGCTCCGAAAAGGTCGTATTATGCACAGCTTGCAAGAACCAATAATCGAGAAAGTGGAGAATTCGAGGCTTTTGTTTTGCTTCTTGGAAAATCCTCTTCTAGGGAATTCTCAGAGCAGAACATTTTACGAATTGGAAATTTAGCTCATTTTGTATTTTTTTAGTAAATAAGTTTGCTATGTAGGCCCTCTACTATGTTTCAAGTTTCCAGAGTTTTTCGAAAAGACAAGAGTTACTGTGCATTTTGACAACATAATTCTTTACATTATCCTCATGTAAGCCGTTTGATGGTGGGGAGAAAATATAGACATTCTGTTGGTATGATTTTCGGATTTCCTGAGCTAAACGTATAAGAAATAAATTCATCACTATCATGTCAGGTTATAGACAATTGTACAGGAATTGAAAGATAAAAGCTGCTGCATGACGAAGGCGCAATCAGGGCTCGGAACGAGGTGGCTTACAAGCAAGCTGGGTATCGTTTTTGGGACGAAAAGCAAAGGGGGTTTCGTTTTTGTGACCGAAGAGACACGGAAAATTGGCGACGGCGACCTTTTTTTTTAGTCGACGTTTCGTTTTTTGGGGGATTTTGGGGAATTTTTCAGGTTTTTAGAGGAAATTTGGTTGAGGGTCAAAGGGGAATTCGTAAAAATTCCCAAAAGTCAAGGGGGACTTCGTTTTTTCCATTTTCATCTAGCCACCTCGTGCCGAGCCCTGGGCGCAATACCTTTAGGCGCGATCGCGGCTTTATTAGCCGCAGAACGCATGAGGCGTAGGATTTACAACGGTGAGGATACGCGCGCACCGCGTTTGCGCCCGCTCGACTAATACCGCTTCTGGGCCTTCGTCATGCAGCAGCCTTTATGTAGCTTTATCTTCAGGTCAACTTTGATCATACCTTTGGAAGAATACGGCATCGCGAGTTTTCAATAAAAAAAATCATTATCTCTTCCATGTAGCAATACCTGCTTAAAGGCAGCGTACACCCAAAAGTTAAGTTACCCATACTCTCTATACCGTGTATATACAGGGCCCAGAAGAAGACCAACTGCTTTGGTCTGGTCTCCCAATGTTGTTTCTGAGCGGAGAAAACCCGCCTGATTTTTCCCTAGGAATCGGGTTTTTTTGGGACTTGTGGAGGATTTTAATGTCATAACTGTATTCAGGAGCACGAAAAGGCCCCATAATGACAAAAACATCGAAGGCGAAGTTTTGGGTGTACGCTGCCTTTGAAGCGTCTTAGGCTGCTAGGACCGTAAGGGTAGATTCTTATATGATATTAAGTTCTGTGCTCATTTGTTCACTTTGGAAATATTCAAAGCTCGGCATCTAAAGACGGAAGCAGATATCAAACACAGATTTGGAGCGTCTAATGATTTACAAAATTGGGAACTCATCTAAAAAAGGCCTCCTCAATTAAAGATACATTCCTTAGAAGCTACGCTTATTGAAGCACTAGCTGGCTTACCCGGCTCCGCCCGGCCCTGTCAAAAACGATAAAGGTTCCATTTTTATCTCTCTACACCTTTACTAGGCTGTTGCATAAGTTCTGTCCGATTTTTTTGCCTCATGTTTGAAGCAGCTGTTCTAAGAGAATTTCATCTCTAATTCGATACGGTTGGTATCATTGAAAAGTGCTTTCCTTGCGCTTTCTAAAGCATACCAGAATTTAATAAAATTCTTAGTGTACGGAGATCACAGGCCTAAAATCTCTAAGTGGCCGAGGTACGTTCTATCCCTAGAAATATGTCCTTGCGAGGATATCTCCACAATGCGCCCTTCAAGTCAGGTTCTTTCATTGGCTTCGGAATAAGGGTATGGAATGCTAGTATATGCAGAAGTTCGGTCCCATGAAGAATACGTCTTGCTAGTGAAATTTATCCTCGAACATAAATCTTTGGTATAGATGTTTTACAAGCAATAACTTTCTGCGAATAGAAGTAATCGACAAGCTCAAAGTTGGAGGTGCTAGGGCAAAGCAAGAGCTAACAGGGCCCATCCACCAATTCCTTTTCGGCGCTCACGTCAGTTGTAAAACGTTCGTAGTTCATAAATAGGCATGCACACATGTGCTGAAGCGAGGTCAAAAAGTGGCTAATTTTTTGTTCGGTCAAGAAAATCTCTCGGCAGCGCAAACCCTATGGGCTCTTTTATGTTGCATAATAATCTACGAAAATTTCTCTATCCATCCATTATTAGAAAAGATGCCTATCAATTTTCATAAGGGAGCGTTACCATGTCAAAATAGACAGATTCGAAGAAAAACGCTGCGAAGTTTTTGCATTCTTGGTTCTTCCTTAACAAAGATTTGCGCAGATCTCAATATGCATTTTTTAGCCAAGGGACTGCTCAACACATAGAAACTAAGACCTTGGAAAAAAGTTGACTCTGAAAGAAGTTATGACATTTTAAACTCAAAAATTCAAATCGGACAGAACTTATGCAACAGCCTAGTACCTGTGCCCACTTTCTACGTGAAATTCCCTACTCCCGCTGTGTTAGTAACCAGTATGCTCGCCTACCTTCCTCACCCCCGTAGCTCAAATTTGCAAAAAAAACAATAAAATTGATGAAAGTAAGGATAATTCTAAAAACCTATGGCGTTATTCGGCTATCCGGGCCCTTAAATGTTTTTGTGATGGGTCTTGCTAAAACTCGGTATGTGGGGGTTAGTCAAACCGCTGTTGACGAATCAAGTAGTCATTTCGCGTGGCAGCGGGTAAAAATCATGAATCTGCCTGAAATCATGGCAGGGAAATACCTAAAATGCTGTTTCAAGAAAGTCGTCCTCAATCCCTAGGATAACGGCAATTCGTGTGGTATAAAAGTTCCATACCACCGTAATGCCTTCTTTTATAGGACCACTGCCGCGCGCGATGCACCCTTCGACGGCTTTTGCCTAAGCAACAGGGGGAGGGAGATTTGCCGCGTGCGTTACGCGTTGGGACAGGTTATCAGAATGGCGCTGGAGACCGCCATGCAAAACGACAGTTTCCTCACTTCGTGAATATCTGGGGTCTAAATTGGCAAAGCGAAAAAATGTCCATTCTAACCCTGCAACTCACCATAGCTTCACTAATGCGTTATAACAGCGAGCAAGCCATATTCATAAGCGATATACTTGTGAACCGTTGCAGGTAAGGTTTTGAGCAATTCTGGAACTTCGATCCATCTACCCCACCGTAACCCAAAAAAATGCACTACCCTGCGAAATCAGCATGTTCGTGTTCAGCGCGCTAAATGACCACTCTAGACGAAGTTTAAAGCAAATCTGTGTTTTCGACCCCATGCCATATAACCACCACAACTTTATGAAAAAGTTCCAATATGCAGAGAGAGATGATATTCGTAATTAGCATGTCGAATAAGCCATATGTATCGAACTCCAACTGAATTCATGATTTTGACTTCCTACCGCACACCTATCGTAACCACACGGGAAGACCTTCTGTGGAGAAAGTGTGATATCTGTAATCAGCATGCAAAGGGCCGGGCATACTTCACGAGATTTTAGTCGCGACGCGATTTGGCAATCGCCAGAAGTGTTCAGATCCAACATTAGCAAATTGCACATGCATAGTGTGTATAACTTACGTAAACTGATGAAATGTCCTATCTTCTGTACATTTATAATGTGCTTACAATGAGTTATGGGCACCTGGAATATTGCCAAATTGCGTCGCGATTGAAATGCTTGAAGTATGCCCGGCCCTTAAGATAACCCTTACACGAACTTTGAGCAAGCTCTAGCACAAAAAAATTTTGGGGCCCGGGTAGCCGAATAGCGCCAAACTAATATCGAACTCGGCATGCTCGGTCACCCCCCTGTGCCAAATCCCAGCCCCGTAGCTCAAACTTTGCAAAAAAATCGATAAAATCGATATCGATCGATGACGAAAAGTAGCCTATGACACCCGTCGGGGCCCGATGTGTATGTGTGCCAAGTTGGTCCGGATCGGTTCAGAAATGGAATTTTCTATTCGGAACATACGTGCAGACAGACATACAGACATACATACAGACAGACAGACAAACAGACATTCAGCTTTATATATAAGATTATAGTTTCAAAAAGCAATTGCTTGACTCATATCTGAAAGGAGATGAGAGATAAGAGATGATATGTGAGATAATTCAAGTTGAAGGAATTCTTTCTGAGAATGTATGAGCATTTCATGGCTAATTCACAATTGCGCCCAAGGCAATGGCTGTATTTCGAGTAAGCATTTCCTCATACCGTTCATGGCGCTATTGCTGCAACT